CTTAGAAAGCTTTGAAGCAAAGATCTACAGCTGAGAGCAGTGTGCTCTGCTATAGAACCTGTCTATGGAAGGATATTCAAGACAATTTTCAAAAGGAATTGCAAATTATATTTTCAATTGTGTTTTCCACATGTGACAAATTGTGACATAATCCAAACACAATTGCAAATCTTGCATTACTGTTTGCGTTTTCACAAATGCACAGTGACTGCCAAATTTCAAATGGAAAAGCAAAGTCCATTTGCAACTGTATGTTCCATGTATTATGAGTAATGAGCCTGTCATATTTAAAAAATACAGCGTCAAAGCAGCTTTACAGTATTAAATAGGAAAATTTAATAAAAAAAATAGTGTGTAATAATGCAAAAGGACAACAGTAAACACTCAGATTTCAGTTAAAGTCAGTTCATCATTGATTCAGTGATGTCATCGTCCAGCTCAGTTCAGTTCAAATAGTATCTGTGCTTTCAAGCTGACGATATCGCTGGATATTAAGTGTCCCCAACTAAGCAAGCCAGAGGCGACAGCGGCAAGGAACCAAAACTCCATTGGTGACAGAAATGGTGAAAAAAAACCTTGGGATAAACCAGGCTTAGTCGGGGGGCCAGTTCTCCTCTGGCCAAATGAAACCAGCAGTTCAATTCCAGGCTGCAGCAAAGTCAGATTGTGCAGAGGACTCATCTGGTTCCCATGATCTTGTGCCGATGACCGTCGAGGTGACGTGGTCTTCACTGGGGATCAGTCTTCGGGGCTCATCTAGTTGTCCTGGTCTCCGCTGACATTCAGAGCTGTAGAGGTCATCTCTAGGTGCTGATCCACCATCTGGGCTGGATACGTACTGGATCCGTGTGACTGCCGTGACCATCTGATCTGGATACAGACTGGATCCGGGTGGCTATGGTGACCTCGGAATAAGAACAAAACAGACTAATGTTAGCGTAGATGCATCATAAGAACAAGTACATCGGGTGTTATTAATTACCACGCACAGTCGCACATGTAACCTACCAAAACTCAAATGGAATCGCAATTACTTTAGCATTTGAATTTCCAATGCCTCACATGGAAACCTGTCAATGGGTGTCAGGGATACTATGGCGCGTGTTTGTATTGGGAGGTGATGTCACTCACAGACGATTGTGCCAAATGCTTGGTAAATGGCGGTAAAAGCGCTGCTAAAGGCAGCTGCCACGAAATCTGCCACAACTAAAGGCAGCTGCCACTCCGAGAGATGCATGTGAAAGAACAGTCTCCCTATATTCTTGGCACCTTACACAATAAATAATTCCATAGTTTTTACCCCAAATGCAGCGACTATCCCCTGCTAACAGTGGGAGCCACAACGGTACCCACTATTAGTCAATATTCACCATTAACCAAATGCTTTTCACCTGCCTCAAGAAGAGAGGAATAAAATATAGGGTAAGATGCAAATAGGCAAATAAGAGTAGAGTTGCAATGTTGTTTTGCCGATGTGCATCAATCAGAGTGCAAACAGTGAGAGATTTGGGGTAAAAACGACAAAATTATTTATGAATTATTTTATTTGGCACAATCGTCTGTGAGTGACGTCACCTCCCAATACAAACACGCCCCATAGTATAGTCCCACCCCTGACACGGATTGACAGGTTTCCGTGTAAGGCATCGGAAATTCAAATGCTAAATGAATTGTGGTTCCATATGAGTTTTGGCATATTACATGCACGATGCAGAGAGAGTGAAAAAGCATAAGTGGTAATTAATATTGCTATTTAAATATGTCAGGTTCATTACTTGTAAGACATGGGAAATACAGTTGCAGTTGCTTTTCCAATTGAAAAGTCACTGTGAGTTCACGAAAGCGAAAACGCAAACCGTAAAGCAAGATTTTCAGTTGCGTTTGGACTATGTCACAATTTATGCATCCACATGTGGAAAAATGCAATTGAAAATACAATTTGCAATTCCTTTTGAAAATTGTCCAGAATATCCTTACCTGTCCATTGATTATGATCAATTCCTTGGAGATCTGCTGGCAATTTCAAATCGCCATGACAAATGGATGGGGTTTTGTGGACTCTGCCCGGTTAAGGAATTCCACCATGTTTGTTCCAACCTATAAAATAAAGTAAACAAAATACAGATTGTTTTAATAGCAATGATTCAGTTCAATTAACTGTGTGAAGTTGGCACAATCATCTGTGAGTGACGTCAACTCCCAATACAAACACGCCCCATAGTATAGTCCCACCCCTGACACGGATTGACAGGTTTCCGTGTAAGGCATCGGAAATTCAAATGCTAATGGAATTGTGGTTCCATTTGAGTTTTGGCATATTACATGCACGACGCAGAGAGAGTGAAAAAGCAGAAGTGGTCAATTAATATTGCTATTTAAATACGTCAGGTTCATTACTTGTAAGACATGGGAAATACAGTTGCAGTTGCTTTTCCAATTGAAAAGTCACTGTGAGTTCACGAAAGCGAAAACGCAAACCGTAAAGCAAGATTTTCAGTTGCGTTTGGACTATGTCACAATTTATGCATCCACAGTTAAATTCACCTATGAGTATCTCTACAGAAGCATACTGATTGGCTGAAAGGTGTGCTTTCAAACTGTGTAATCAATAGGATGTTCTAGTCAGTATCATCACAGTTTTATATTAATATGCTGGCTATATCGAAACACGCATGCATAGTCACTGGCACACAGATACGGGAGATCACACTGCATACACACACACAGAAATGTATATGACAAGTCACACAGGTACTGGGTTACTCCGCAGCTTTAAAATAGTCCATATATAAACACTTTTATATAGGTGTACCAAAGTGATTCAGGACAAGTCAAAAACACGATTTGGAAAATGGGTATATGATGTATTCACCAAGCGGCAACTTCCCGCTCTCTCTCGTGAAGCCAACGCGGGAGTGACGCGCTGCCAAGATGGCGACGGCCCGCTCCGCCCACTTTGAGCTTCAAAAACGCTCTTCGGAAACCTACGGGTGACGTCACGGACACTATGTCCATGTTTTTATACAGTCTGTGGTATTCACTCATTATATAAATTCTGTACATTCTGAACGCAAAGTTACAAAGTGCAGCTTTAACTATAGCACAAAACAAATTTATATGTGTGTTTAAGTTACGCAAGGGTTAGTTTATTATCACAGACAATCAGTTATGTATGTAAAATCTGTAAAATATATAATAAACATAAACTTGCCATTAAACGTCTCGATGAGACTGCACTCAACGAGTTTTTCTCTCACAAATGTATCCATGTGCTTTTCTGACAAGAAAAAATGACATTTTGAATTATATTACTTAACGTTACCAAACACCTTTATTTACGAATGTAAAAAGACTTTGTAAACCACACAAGCATCAAATCACCTCACTAACGTAACTCGGCCTACGGCACTCGCTGTGCGTGCGTGCGCGCTTTGAAATGTATCGAGGCCCTGAGACGTTGATTCCTTTCCGGGAATCACTTTGTTCGAGAATTGATGAACCGGTTTATTTGAACCGGATCGTCGGTTCTTTTAGACCTGCGGTCTGACGACATTGTACGTACTTTGTATGTGATTTACATGTCGATATGGACAATTGCAGGTGTTTACATTAGAGCAGAAAGTCGTATTCACTTATTTTAACTCATTTGACTCACTTTGTTAAATTCGCTTTTCAGTGACAGAAACGACTCTTTCCTCTATTTTCACAGATATTCACATATTTCAGCCTTCCGTCACTGTCTGATACTTAATAAAACTATTAATCTGTCATCTCACATACCTAACATGACTATGCGAGTACGTGTAGAATGGCAGTCTGAGGTAAACGTTTCGTCATTTAACATAACTAATGTTGGCCTGTAGAAGATTAACAATATTGTTGCCGCGAAAAAAGTTATGATTCTGCCAATTTAAAATAATTATTAATGAAAACATTATATAAACTTACCTTAAAACAGTTGAAATTAGTGGCTTTGCCCCGTTGTCCTTTCAAAATGACAGTTAGGGGAGCGATTTAAACATCTTCAAGGCGCGAAGGTCGTTAAATAACTCCGTGCTGGGCTGAAACAACCCAGCAGGTTTAACTCAACACCTGGAAAATTGAAACTACCCAACAGTGTTTAAAATGTGACAAAATGACCCAAGAGACTCAGCCCAGCATTTTGGGTTAAAAAATAACCCAGCATTTTTTAGAGTGTAAGAGAAATAAAAAACAACAACACATTTTTACACAATATTCCTTACTGATTTACCCTGAGCAAAGGGCTGTTTTAGTGTGGCCCTGTGCTGGACTAACTAAAAAAACAAAAAATTATAAACCAATATATAATATATATATTTGCATTTATTTATGATTTTTTGAGTCGGTGTCTGCTGGACAAATTCATTATAGAGCCTGATGCCTGATCAAATAGTGTAAAGTTTGCGGAGTAATTCCTTACTTAGTATTATAGGGTATTAGGTATATATATATGGGGAAGTCGTGGCCTAATGGTTAGAGAGTCGGACTCGTAACCCAAAGGTTGCGGAATCGAGTCTCGTACCGGCAGGGATTGTGGGTCACCATACTTGGCCACATGTCACTTCACTTAGTAAGTATCCTTCCTTAGTATCCTTGCTTGGCATTACTTAGTAATTTTACATATTTTATTTTTTAGATTTTTATTTGATTAATATTTCATATTTTAGGTTGTTAATGTGTTTTCCATTTTCCAGATAAAAAAGACTGTACATTATAAATTTGTCAATTTTTATGGATATGCTAGCCAATTAATGACCTCTATACTAACAAAAGTCTACTTTCAATTGCATGTTTCTTTATATATAGTGTCTTTTGTCATGTTGTCAGCTACAAATAGCACTGTAGCACTCTGAACTCTGTTGAAGTTTCTTTCCCCCACGATCAGTGCAGAAAATGTGAAAAATAGCTGTATAAAAATAGAGATACTCCGTATGCTGCCTCCAGAGAAGTTCTCTGACTCATGTCTCTCATCTCTGCAGTCTGGTGGACGACCGCTGTGTGGTGCAACCAGAATCTGGGGACCTAAACAACCCTCCTAAGAAATTTCGAGGTAAGGCCGCATTTATGTCTCTGTAACTTCGGACTCTAAGGTGTTATACAGAAATGTTTTAGAGATCTCTGTGGAAGACGTGTTAGACCTGTTGAATAACATTTTTGGTTTCTTTTTTGCCCTTATTTAAAGGATTTTTTAGGGATGCACAATATTTTGAAACGTTATCAAAACGATAAAATTTTTTTAAAAAGCATGTGCTCAGGGTGTGCTAGCGATGAGATCACGTCAGCAGTGTGGTCATTCTTGAAAATAACTTTTGCCAGAATGATTCACTGTTCACAGCATTTAATCTGAGAATTCACGTACAGAGCGATGCGTCCAGTGTGCGATAGAATCAACAGTTAATAGCATGTGCAGTAGCAGCAGCGACAGCCTCCCACGGGTCCTAATGCCTGACCAGTAAGGCGTTTTATTTACATAGGGGGCGCTGTTGGCCGACTTGTAATAAAATGAAAGTAAAATACACAAATATCATCAAGATACTTGTGTTTCTGAATAAATAAAGCAGTAATTGATGTCATAAAATCACAAGCGTGGACAGCGAGCTGATCCGCGATCTAACTAAAGCTCCGGAAGAGCCCACCCATGGCCTCCTTGATGAGTGGTACCTGAAGGGATGCCGTCAACATCCCTCCCACCAATGGCCCGCTCTGTTCCTGCCAGCAGTTCACGAGGAACTCACCAGGATGTGGCGCGCCCCCTACTCGTGTCAATCTCTCTATTTCCACCGCTCTCACCACTGTTGATGGTGCCGAAGAAAGAGATTATAGCAAGCTCCCCCCTCTGGAAGAGGCGGTAGCTGCGCATCTGTGCCCTCCATCAGCCCTGGGAGCCCATGCAGCACATCCATCTAAGCCCTGCAGGACTACTTCAGCCCTAGCAAACAGGGCTTATTCAGCGGCTTCCCAGGTTGGTTCAGTGCTTCACATGATGGCAATGCTTCAAGTGTTCCAGGTCAAACTTCTCCGCACCATGGACGAGTCCGGCCAGAGTTCTTATGCCTTTAGATAGCTGCGCACAGCGACTGACCTGTTTTGGTGGTGCTGGAGCACCACCTTTGGCTGAATTTGAAAGAGATCTGACAAGGTCGCCTTCCTAGACTCGCCAGTCTCTCCTAAGGGACTGTTTGGCCCTGCTGTGGATGCGTTTGCCGAGCAGTTTACAGTGGCACAGAAGTCATCGCAGGCAATGCGTCACTTCCTGCCGAAGCGCTCCAGTGTGGCGGCTGGTTTAAGTCACCTGAGCTCCATCTGCTCAGCAGCCTGCCAAGCCGGCACTGCCTCAGCCCCAGCCTAAACCTGAGCGTGGGCTTCAGCAGCACCCCCGGATGGCGAAATGTTACCCATTTCCGAAGCGCCAAGGTCAAATTAGGGACTTCACGTCCCCTCAGGGCTTTCCGGAGGATGCTCGGCTTCATGTCGGCCACTTCCTCTGTGATTCCTCTGTTTAGACACTCAGAGCAGCTCTTTGTGTGCTTTGGAGGCCGCTCTAAATGGCTGCCAGTTACAAAGAAGAAACTATCTCACTGGATAGTGGATGCTATAGCCTTGGCTTATGCCTCAGCAGGCTTGCAGTGCCCTATAGGTGTAAGGGCCCACTCCACCAGAGGAATGGCCTCCTCCTGGGCTTGGTCCAACGGGATTTCTATTGGTGATATCTGTGTGGCCGGCCGCTGGCTGGTTGTCGCCGTCTACCTTCACCAGGTTTTATAACTTGGACGTCCCTGCCCTGCAGGCACAGATTTTATCTGCTTAATTTGACCTAATCCCCTTTGTAAGTGGAGAGGGTTATCTTATGTAGTCCTCAGTCTAAATGGCTTGGGTCTCATTTTTGGCTCATGCTTACAGCAACCCTCAGTACAAGTGATCCGTGGCTGGGCTTGTAGAGCAGCTTCGTTCTACACTAACTTATTGCACAGCGCTACTGGATGTGTTCCCTATAAGCGTGTCAATGCAACAGGACAGACAATTTGAAAGGGAACGCTCCGGTTACTAACGTAACCTCGGTTCCCTGAGATAAGGGAATGAGCGTGCGTAGGCTGCCGTGCTATAGGGCTGCATGCGAATCGATGTCTGTCGCTTCAGTCAAAAGATTCTGATGAAATGGCACTCAGAGCCGACTTATACAGATTTCGGCTCCTCCCCTTTTGGCGGGTTGAAGCGCCATTGGTTTGTGCAGCTACACAGACATGAACAAATCAGGCTTCAGTATCAGAGTAAACAGGAGTTTCCCCATAAGCATTTCAACACAACGCTCATTCTCTTATCTCAGGGAACTGAGGTTACGTTATTAACCGGAGTGATTTCTGTTGTAGTAAGTTTGCTCGGTAGCTCACCTAGTACACTTGCGATTTGTGTTTCATGAATCCCGTGAAGCACAGGTCACAATAAAGGAGCTCAAAGACCAGTAGAAACAAGCTAAAATGGCATGGTTGCATTTTTGTCTCATGTTTGTTTTCTTAAATGTATAGTTTACCCAAAAATTCTGTCATCATTTACTTGTCCTCAAGTTGTTCCAAACCTGTATGAGTTTCTTTCTTTTGTTGAGCACAAAAGATATTTTGAAGAATGTTGGTAACCAAACAGTTGATGGTAGCCATAGATTTCCATAGTATTTTTTTTTATTTCCATACTATGTCAGTCAGTAACTACCATCAATATTCTTCAAAATATCTAAGAAAGAAACTCATACTTATCAGGTTTGGAACAACTTGAGGGTGAGTAAATGATGACAGAATTTTCATTTTTGGTTGAACGATCCCTTTAACACTATTGGTTAGGGTAGGGTTTAGTGTAGTTGGTATGTTAATTTAAATTGCGATAGAGCATTAACCTTTTAGTGCCAATCACCGGACATTTCCTTTCCAAAGTACCGTAATATGTGCAATAACCAACATAAAACATTGCCAGATTAATTTTCATCTGTTTTGGTTAAAACTAAATGTGCTTTTACCCCAACTCACTGGACATTTCACTTTGAAAGTATTGTGAAACGTGCAAAAAGCAACGTAATATCAGGCATGTTTTCCCATAAGCCTGGGTTGTGTTTTTTCTTTGAACCTAAGCAAGGTAGTTGTTAAATAGTAGACCACATGGGAATCCCAGGTGCTATAAGAATACATTGTGCAACACTTTCAAAAAGTACTATACAAAAATGCTTTCACTTGTGTTTTCACTTGGATGAAAGAGGTCTCACCCAGTTTTGGCAAAATAGAGGAGGTCAAAGATAGTGTTATATTCAGTGTAGTGCAACTGAGAATGATGCAACAAAATGTGATGCATTTGACTGTTGGGAAAAGCACGTCTGTCATTTTTCTGTGAACTTGAAGACCTTGATTAGCTGGTTCAGGTGTGGCTGATGGCACTGGGAATAAACTTAATAGTATGGAGCTCTTCAGGAGCAAGATGAAATTATTATTTAAATTATTTAAAACAATCTTATAAAATTATTTATGCATTTGCAATTTTGCAGTGTTAGTGCATTTATGGCACCTCAGCTTCATCAAAACAGTCTGTTTAAATACATCTAATGCCACTTCAGATGCAGCTTCTGTGTTTCCTGCAGTGGAAAGATTCATTTGAATGGTAACAAATCTACAGTTTCTTATTATTCTAACTGAATTAATTGAAACAATATAATTATATATTTGATGTGAAAGATGACGCATTTAATATAAGGTTAGAGAATTTTTTTTTAAACCGTGGGAGATGATATCTGTTTTGTTATATACGGCAACTCATTTCTACCTTTTCCAGTCACTGAGCACTTTATTTTTAGAGTTGTTTTAGTGAGAGAACATCTGTAACCTAGTCCAGATAAGGGGAATTGTAATGTTTAATAATTTATTTTATTATGTAAATAATTTTTGTTTGTAAATGCTGTCAAAGAAAACCGGAATCGACAGGTCACACTTAAAAAAAATTAAAACAATTATTGGAAATCGAAATCGGCCAAGAAAATTTTAATAGGTGTGTCTCTAGTGGAAACCGAGCCTTAGGCATGCTGGGAGAAACCTCTGAGCCTCTTCTGCTTATAAATTGCTGTATGACAGACAGCCTGTCACATTCTAGCATGATGTGCTCTCTCACTCTTTTACCAGTTGGTGCATTTATTTAGTGCATTATCTTCCCACCTGTGTCCAAGGTCTCAGTCAGTCTTAAACCAAGAGGCAAAAGCTAGTGATGCTCAGATTAGAGTTTTACAGCTGATTAATGATTTCTAAAGTTTCTTAAAGGAGGCTTGCATCTTTGCGTCATTGAAATGTTATTGTTTACGTTATGAGCAGTGTTGGGGAAAGTTACTTTTAAATGTAATGCATTACAATATGTTGTTACTGTATTAAAAAAGTAACTAATTGCGTTACTTATTTACTTTTTATGGAAAGTAATGCATTGCATTACTTTTGTGTCATTTTTGTCACCTGGGCTAGGCTTGCTTATTTGTTTTTTAATAATAAAAAAACCCAAAAGTTATATTTTTGGCAACTGTAAAGGTCCTTTCACAAAAAAATAAAATAAAAAGAAATTTATAAGCCTCAGGCTGTAGGACGTAACGGTATATATTAATAGGGATGTAACGATTACCGGTTTGACGATAAATCATGATCGTTTCATCTTTTAATTATCATTAAAACTGTATTAGATTACCGCGATTTGAACAACTCGCCATAAATACTGTCCAGCATAAAGCACAGTTTTAAGTAACAGTCTCGCGTGCGCACAGCAACAGAGTAGTTTCGTTTTGAGTGAAAACAGGGCGGAAAAGCTGGAAGGTTTTAAAAGAGTGCTAAGGGATTTGTTTGCTAAGGGATGATTTGTTTTCATCTTCGCTCCATGTAATACCTAAAGAAAGTGTTCTTAATCGCAATACTGCTTTGTCCACGGAGGTTACGGGAAACAGCTCTAATTCAGCTTTTCCATAAGCGCCACCTGCTGTCAGCGAGTGGATTTACAGAGACTTATATTTACATTCAGCCTGTGTGCAGTTTCTGTCTGGCC